TGGCTCTCTTCTTCTACGATAACTTCGTTCTGTGTTTCGCTCAAACCTATGCTGTTCTTGAGGCTGTGATTTCTTGATCTGTATGATGTAACCTTACAAGTACTCAATGGTGTTCGACAAAGTGCTAGTATGGTACAAGGCTACTATTTGAAAGAGAACAATGTCAGACAATTCTAGTAAGAGTTCAGAGGAAACAACTCGCAGGAAGCAATTACAAAATATATCATATTCTGTAACCTGCTCTATCTAACAAGGGAAGGTCACGAACTGAACCCAGCGTTCCGGGATGAGATATACATCAAATTGTAGAACTCTTCGAGCTGATCACGAATATGTAAAAAATTTTTGCGAAATAAAATTTGAGGCTGTGATTTCTTGATCTGTATGATGTAACCTTACAAGTACTCAATGGTGTTAGACGAAGTACAAGCATGATACACGGCTACTATTTGAAAGGTAACAGTGTCCGATAATTTAAGTAAGAGTTCAAAGGAAACATCTCGCAGGAAACAATAACGCAATAATCATATTCTCTAACATGCTCTACCTAAGGAAATTGATATTGGCACATGAACGCCTTATGATTTAAAGAGATGAAACTGCTAAGTTCACATTCCGGCTATCTATTATCCATCAGAAATTTTCGGTAATACTTCGGAGCAGATGAACGCTGAGCATTCAGTCATAAGCTGACCTCATTTGTTGCCTGTTGGGTCTTGGGCACAGCGTTTGAAGCATCCTCTGTGACTGGTTTTGCATTGATATCAATAGTCGTGATGCCATTGCAGAGTTCGTTCATCTCTGCTTTATTTTCCGGTGACATCGGCAGATGCATTTCGCTCCCAGGCGATTGAATCTTCTCGCCAGATACCTGAAAAGTCTTCCAGCTCGCGCTTTCATGAAAAGTAAATTCTACTTCTCGTTCAAACATAAGCTTCAAAAACAGTGTGGGGAAAGTACGCGATGTGCGATTGGCATAACACACGTAAAAAACTACGGAGAATATAAGCCTTCAAAACATAAACGTGATCAAAGAAGGAAGTTATTGCTCACCTGACTATGCTCTAGATCAGTACCATGGCTGCATCGCTGGCCATCGCTAGTCCGGACACCATCGTCTTCCAGTTCATTCATAATCCGTCCGGAAATTTCGTTACAAAACTATCTCTACACCGTTCTCAATCCTTAACATGAACGAAAATGCTGATCACAAAAGTCTAACACCAACTTAAAGGGGACCGTTATACAAGGCGTTAACACTGACTAATTTGTAGAGACAGTGACTGAGAATAAAACTGAGTCCATCACAAAAAAACCTGCTATCCGCACACACACCAATTCCAGTGCTTCTGTCTCTCCGGAATTCCTCCACTGTCAACTTAAGAGTAATATGAATTTCTAGGCCGTACGTGTTCCCTATCGAAACGCTGATCTAAAAAATCGCTAAAATAGTGCACCAAACCAAACAGTTACTACCGCAAACTATGGATACAGCTCACCCGTAAGACTAGCCCAAACTAAGGCCAGTAAAACAGGAACAATGATCTGTGGAATTCTTTCGAACCACTATTCTCTAGAACAATTGATCAATGACGTTGCATCTAGCATGCAAATTCCGTCAAAACTGCTGCCAGTGACGCTATGCAGAATTAATGAGAGGTTTCGGCGTTTATTTCGTCATATTACCGAATCATAGTATTGAAACACAAAGGATTAATATCATACAAAAACAAAGGGAGAAGGAAATCCTCCAATTAGTACATAAGGAAGTTCGATTTCATCACCCGAATCAATAAGACATTATAAGATGATCAGCAAGCGCAAAGGGATAAGATTTTCTCCAACAGCACATACAAGAAATCTATTTGATCATGCGTAGGTTATATCCGTGTGCATGTATCCTATTTTATAGATGCGCAGCTAAAGTACAGAGCTAGAGGTTGATTCATATGTCATCTTGGTATACCTCACGAATCGTAGTATCGTTCGAGCTCCGTCGTGATAAATGGTAACTGTAAATGACCATATTGGTTGCAATAGGTACAATTTTATTTCATTTGAATATTACTTGAAAAAGGATAATGTCGAGATATAAGATGAGTCTCCGATGATTGTTGGCTTTTATTTGAATCAACATTAATCGACTGAAATTATTCGAAGTGGTCCAAAATCTCGTATACAAATTCAGAACTTGAGTTATTCGCTGAAGAAATCATCTGAGTGCTTCCGTATAATTCGACTTACAGTTTCACCAAACATATCATTTACTTCATGTGCCAAGCCAATAGAATATATGTTATGTGAGAAACATCCCAATCATAGTACGATATCTGAATGACGAGATTGATTGTTCTCATGCATCAAATGAATGCTATAACTTTTCTTTTCAATTCGGTTATGGTGAATTTTTGGTATATTTTCCAAAAAAATACAAGAATAAATCTGCAATTTGTTGCCCAGTCTTGGAAAAAGGCATTGTGTCCAGAAGAATCCTGATAGATTTTCACATCTTGAGAGGCTGCTAATCGTAAGCATTTTAAATATTTCATAACGTCAGATTGCTCTCCTAAGCGCCCTTTCAGTCTCCAGTCACGTAAATATTCCACTTCGGCGACACAATGACGACAATAGGCAATAAAATTGAAAATAATTGATAATAACTTCAAATGATTTCGAAAATTTTTCGTTTTTTCGACTTATTTTCCCTTGTTATCAGTCGGATTTTTCGTTACTTTCATCGCACGACGAATTATTTGCCCGGTATGAGAAAACATTCCGAGTGTCTCAATCAGAAAGGATTCCCCAACTACTCTTCAGTTCGATCGGAGTAAACATCTTATCAAAGTAACGCATTTCAATACCGAAAATCAAAATTCAAACGTTTCGTTCTTATCACATTATCACTACTGCTATCTGCAGATCCCAACGCCGTACGTCATTCATGCAATCAATTGCTACGTATCAATATCAAACCATTTAATATTCTCACGTATCGGTCGTTTTTGCTTATTGATTTTTGGTTCGAAGCTGAATTCTGACTTTCTTTCGACCCTGTGCTCATCGCTTGTATGCGTTCGTTCGTACTCATGCTTTGAAATGAAGTGCCACCCAAAAGCTAGCATAGAGTTTGGGCGCTTGGGAATGTTAGGAATGCCCTGCTTACTTTGATCGATATCGAATTTTTAACTTTGACCGACTTTGACGATAAAATTGATCGATTTCATTCACTAGTACACTTTATACACAAACTGCTAAGATTCATATTTGCGTTGCATAAAAATATGAATCTGAAGGAGCCTAATGTTTCATCAACAGTCAATATGATTCATTGAAAGATTGAGATGTGATAGAATCGTTGAATAGTTTATCAGTAGCATTCAGTGGCACGTAAGGATGTTTTCGTTCATATTCCAAAATCATTAACTGGGATGTTTTCATGAGTGCACGTCGGTCGGTTCGTTTTCGTAGTTGCATGAGATTATAAGAATGAACTGATTGGAAATTGCAGTATTTCCTTTGCTGAATACCACTCAACGCAGGGTGCTTCTTACTTTTTCTGCAATCTGTCACCATCTGAATACCTATGACAGATGTAAGTTTTCAGATCATATCCTTGAGGTTCATGTATTCGATAAGTGAGCAAATCCATGATTTTGTCCGGCAGAACTATGAATATTAATATTATGCTAGTTAGATATCATCTGGTTAGAGTATCAATGGTTGAAGAATTTTACGAAATTTTTTGAAATTTCCAGAAACCAGAAACAACAACATGCGACGAAAACAGTTCAAACGAGCCAGACACGATTTGCGACGAAAATAATTCAAACGAGCCAGACACGATTTGCGACGAAAACAATTCAAATGAGCCAGAAACGACGGAAGGTAACGAACCAGACACGATGGAAACTAACGAGTCAGACACGACGGAAACTAGAGACACTCGTAGCAGGTATGCTAGCAATCTTGAAACTATTCCACATCTCATTTCAGCTCATAATTCACTTTTATAGTCGGTTATCTTTATGATGATTACAAATCAGTAAACTGTAACGATTATCATATTTTAGGACCGAAATAGCGATAGACTTCTTCGAGCAAGAAATCGCTAGGAAAAGACATCTGAGTAACATCCCAAATTTCGACGATCTCTACAGGTATATTTTGCATCATCGAATCTGCACATCATCAAAGCTTATCGTCCTATTTTGTTGATTCGTTGAGCCGAATCTCAATCATTCCACAATCCCTGTCATTCACTTGAAGTATTTCAGCGAGACACCATGCGACACGGCGGATGCTTCACAGGAGGAAAAATGATATAGCGCATCATCTGAGCGTGCTAGGTTCGACGGTGAGCGTGCTCTTCATCATAATTTTGCACAGTCCATCTCTTAATTGAAGACATATTTCGAAATCTTTGGCAGAGCAAAGATAAAGTTTAGAAGCATATCTGGAGGTTGANGAAATAGCGATAGACTTCTTCGAGCAAGAAATCGCTAGAAAAAGACATCTGAGTAACATCCCAAATTTCAACGATCTCTACAGGTATATATTTGCATCATTGAATCTGCACATCATCAAAGCTTATCGTCCTATTTTGTTGATTCGTTG